TCCCTTGCAGAGAATCAACTGCACTCACAAAGTGAACAGTCTATTTGCCTTTAGTAAATTAACTCCAGTGACCTTAATCCAAACACCATGGTCTTATGAAATGTGTCAATGCAGACATAGAGGGGTTTATTTACTAAACCTGGAGAGTACAAAGTCAGCCTCACTTCTGCATAGAAACCAATCAGCTTCCAGGTTTCATTGCCAAAGCTTAACTGAACAAGCTGAGGTTAGAAGCTGATTGGTTTCTATGCAGACATGAGCCTGACTTTGTACTCTCCAGGTTTAGAAAATAAACCCCACATTGTCCAAGAACATGACTGGAGGTGTAAAATGTTGTGGGCCCTGTTCTGATTAAGATAATTCAATCACCATGAGACTATGAAGTCTAGGAAAAATCTTCAAAATTACTAAGCAAGTTCAGTTGAATGTGACAAACTACTAGATAGAGTGAAGAGTATGAGAGTAACAGCGGGGATTGATAAATATTAATATACCACTCAGATATGCTGAACAATAAAGTGTTAATATAAAAAAGCCACTTGTGAAGATTTGAGCTACCTGTCAAACTTACACAAGGTAAAGTTAATGACTAAAAGCTGTTGAATATTACACTATATACAGAAGAGAAAGTCATGCTGTAAATGTCCAAGATAAGGCTAGTCTTTTAGGTCTATGTCTTCATAGATAGTCAAGTTTCTTACTAAACACATAAAAATATGGTTCCTATCTTCCTGAAAGGAGCATTATTGTTTTAATTACTTTATTGGCAGAATGCATTCCTTGCCTTTGAAGCGAAGTAGCAGCTTATGAGATATTTGTTTTATCTGTATGATATATCACATTTATTTATTTATCGGGTTTATATAGCGCCAAAGGGTTTGCTCAGCGCTGTACAATAGAGGGGGGGGACAATACATGAAACAGTACAGTAACATCAAACAGCACACAGGGGGGAAAGAGGGCCCTACTCTTTCGAGCTTACAATCTAGGAGGGAGGGGGTAGAGGTACAGGAGGAAATGGCTGTGGGGGATGGAGTGGTAGGAGGAGGGAAGGGCAGCGGCTGTTAGGTGAGGGTGGGGTAGGCTTCCCTGAAGAGGTGGGTTTTCAGGGAGCGCCTGAAGATGAGGAGGGAAGGTGACAGTCTGATGGATTGGGGTAGTGAGTTCCAGAGGATGGGGGAGGACCTGGAGAAGTCTTGCAGTCGTGCGTGGGAGGAGGAGACCAGGGAGCAAGACAGAAGGAGGTCCTGTGAAGAGTGAAGGGTACGGGTAGGGTGGTACCTGGGAATCAGGTCGGTGAGGTAGTTAGGGGCAGTGTCACATAGTGCTTTACAGGAACAAGACAATAATGCTAGGTGTCAAGTAAAAACTAAATGGCAAAGCATAATGTTACTTTATTCAGATAAATGAATAGTGCATGTATACACTCCAATTATTTGTAAATAAGCTTACCACTTTGAAAGTGATTTTACAACAATAAGAAAGGATACATATACAAATTGTAGTTGTAAAAGACATCTTAAAACCATGGGAGCGCAGTAGAGTAGAATTTAGTTAATTCTTTTATTTGACTGAGTCAGAGAAATGGTAATATGCGTTGTGTATCTTAATCAGCTCATAGATGATACATTGTATTTTGTTCAGCCAGCTGGGTGAATGAAAGAACTGACTCAATTCCCCCATCCACACATTCAGTGTGGACGGGAGAATCCTTCCCACTGAGTCACTGTTGTCTGTCGGCAGGGAGTACACTGATGGAGCAGGGAAAAGCTGACAGGGGGGTTGTAAAGAAGTTGATCACACATTGATTGAAATTCGTCCAGATCAGTAGGGACCGGACAAACTTTGATCTACATATGGCCGGCTTTAACCCAAAGCTACCAAACAGATCTTGCAATACCATTGCAAGATCAGTGATAATTTTTAATTGCTTGCTAATACAACATAGTTTATATTTCTCTATTAATGGCTACAGCCTGTATGTATCTGGATTCATCTGTTAAATAAAGTGTAATTATGCTCAGACGTTGGCAACTGAAATAAAGTATCTTGTGGTATGCAACTCCAGCTGACCACACATACACCTCTGTTTTGAACTGATCTTCTTTGGATTAATAATTATTTATCAGTGTTTCTCTTGTCCGTTTTTATGTTTTCATCAATGCAATCTAAATTACATTGCCTTCTAATTTGTTTTTTTTACCTTAATTTCATTTATACTTTTTTTTTTGTGCGATTAAAAAAAGCAAATAAAAAAGACAAGTCCCATAAATTGTGCACAAAAACAATAAAACATTTTCCAATCTGTCCGGTCACTTCCTTCTAATTGGGTCAAGAAAAATAATTAAAGTTATCACAACATTTATTTACTCTGAAATTGCTAGTTTCCTGGCCGTTAGGTTACCCTCTTGCTACAATACTTTGTGTTGCTTGCCTGGGACAAGTATGGAAATAAACACATCTGACTTTGCTCAGATTTTCTTGATATGCATACTTGTTCCAAGTCATGTGATTCAAATATCATTGAACTCACATGGTGTAATAGCATCATCAGAAGGGGGTTGGCAATGGAAGCCCTTATGTGTCTCTCTGGAAAGGTTTCCTTTAAAATTGCTATATATGTGTCATCTTAAACTTTGTCTGACTTGAGGAGTTCAATAAAATGCTCTCTGTATTATAGGAGTGTAAAAAGATGTCAGCAGTGTGTCAGTGACCACATTTACAGCAGGAGATAAATGTTAGGCTTCCCTTGTTTCATTCTTAGAGCTGCCTGTAGGCCAACAGAGATGTAAAACTCAGAGGATGTGAACTCAGGACTCTGTGACATGCATACCTCAACAGCCATCTATGGCAAGAAAAAAAAAAATGCCAAAGAATGCACAGCGGGTGGCATATTATGGCACTGAAAAGAAAGCCGGGAGTCAGAGGCAAAAAGAAGATAAATGTATAAAAGGATACATACACTTAGTAGACTGCTTCTAAAAAGGGATGCACACAGAAAAACTCAATGAAACATATGGCAGACTGGGCAAGGTAAAATAAGAACAGAAAGTTAGGTTTGGTTATTTAGTGATATAGGATTTCCATAAGCCACGTGTCATTCTGCATTGTTTTCAGCATTACTAAGCAATGTCACATTTTCCAGCACAAATATGTGAGTACCTAGTGGTTTCCTCTCACTGAATTGCCATGGCAAATTACACTGGGCAGATGTATAACAATTACAAGAATAGACAAATATAACAGTAGTTCACAGTAACCCTTTAGAAAGTTACCCTCTTATTTTGTTAACCAACATTAGAAAATTGACAGTTGGGATGTCATTTGGTTGTGGTGAACAATGCTATCCCAACATCTCTTGTATAGCCTTCATTTAATGGTAAAAAAAGAAGTACAAATATAATTTATTTCTTCTTCCTAAAAGCTGTACAGTGGTAAAGGAAACCTCTAATGAATTAAACATGACATCTGCTAACATCTATATTTAAAAATGCTAGTTTCTAGGCAGTCATATTGACCCTTCTACTGCAGAACTTTAAGTCGCTGACCCAAAAATAACCTATTTTTAGATAAGGACTTTTGAATTCTGTGTTAATTACCTGATCTGTTTAGCGTCAGTGGCTTAACTATCAAAACCAGAATGCCAGCATTACATACAGGCAATTAGCATTTTTAGGAGGAGGCACACAATGGCAACCTTGATATTACTCTCATGAGAAGTTTACTTTAAAGCAAAACTCAAGAATGGAGATATTTCCTCAGGTCTAGAGGTAGCTGAAGAGAATACTTCATACCAACTCCCACCCTAGCAAGCTCCTGGGACGACTCCTCTCCCTGGTGCTCTGGGCTATGGGGGGGGGGGGGGGCCTTCGGCGTCATTGCACACAATGCAGAGCTATATATCCTGCATTGTAGGTGGAGAAGGCAGGAGTGCAACAGCAGCTGAGAGCACCCGAAAAAGGAGTGTGTGTGGATGGGGGGGGGGGGGGACTTGAAGTTGAGCTTTAAGGAGTTTCTACAAACAAATGTTTTTTTTCTCCTTTAGTTTTTTTTTTTCATTTTAGATAAAGTAGAAAATGGTTAAAACCCCTGCCAGAGATCCCCCCTCTGTTCCTGATCTGGTGACAACTCAAAATTTTTAGTTTTCCCTTTCAGTCCCAGTAACTTCCCCCTACCCGATAGCAGCTGTATGACTATCTTGACCAGATATAGTAACCCATTTCTCACCTGTAAAAGCTGTATTTGTGTGGGACACAGTAATAAAAACTTGACAAAGGGTTTTCTAACAAGTGCACTAACCCCATATTTTAATAAAAAAAAAAATATGTAAAGCATTTTAGTTTATTGTCTAAAGGGTAAATTCAATAAAAAGTTAATATCAAAGCATTGATTCTCATAAGAACCTGGATTTATCTCTATAAAGTTACCAACTTTAAAATAATAAAAATCATTTATTTTAAATGCTTACCTACATTGCTTTTCCACAAATGCTTTTTTACTAACTTGCAGTTTTCCTTTGAACTTTTTAGAAAATGTGACCACTCCAGGAAGTGTCAGCTCTCTAGCATAGCCTTCTCCCACCTTGCACATCATAGCCCTCACCTCTTCTGGTGCTCTCTAATTACGCTTTGTGTTTGCTCAGCTCCTCTGCCCCCCCTTTCACCACCTTACAAAACATTTCATGCTAGGGTTGTTGATATCACATTCAAGGTGGTGGCCCCCAGGGGCAGTCTCAGGCCTTTTGGATATCTACACAGTGGAGGCTTTTACAGATAAGCAGCATGCATAAAATACGTTAAATACACATATACCTACAGGGTCTCTTTATTCCTTCTACCACAAACTGCTCAGACTTGGATTCTGATGGCTTAACGTCTAATATATTCTGCCAGTATTATACAGTACCAAATTCATTCTCCAGAAAAATTATTTTAGCTTTTACCTAAAAATTGTTGATGATGCTGGCTTTGGGCAATTACAGTCTGCTCAACAGATGCACCTGTCTGTTGTCCACTTCCTGCAAATCCATCTCCCACTCCGTCCACTTTCTGCATAGGCTTATACCTGTCAAATGTAGAATCAATTTTAAATACATAGGCCATGAAACACTGATTTATTAGATTGTGTGCGACTGTGTGAGGATGTAGTGTTAATGGTCTGCCTTTACGAAGTCAGAAACTCCAATAAAACCAATGTTGCATCCAGAATTACCCTGATTGGGTTTGCATCTTTGCATGAATAAGAACAGATTATGTGGTCCTTGTGAACATCCGGAAGCAGGTAACATCTTGTGGCAAACGGATTCTCACATTTTCAGTGACCAATACCTGTGATTTAGCAGACATGAAGTTGTTTCTAAAGACAGTTAAAAAAAAAGTAGCTGAGCTGAATAAAAGTACAGCATAATGCAACAAAAAAACCACATTCATACCCATGCACTGCACATGCCACCAGTGGTGCTTGCACAGAGATAAATGATCCCTAGGTGCGTCGTCTATGCTCCCGTTCTATGAGGGTCATACTGTACATGGCTTCATATAAGCAAGTAATGCAACTATTTCAAGCACAAAATGTGCACCAGTAACCTTCACAGGCTAAATGCAGAACAGACTTGAGGGGAATTAAAGGAAGGAGATTGCAGTGAGAGGCACAGAGCACCTTTGTGGACAGTCAGATATCTCACAATCTCCTGCTGTCACTTACTTCTGCATCAGCTTTTACCCTTGCATATGCTTACCAGCATATTTCCTAAATATATACATGGGTAAACGGCAATGTAAAACCCTTTGGCATTTACAAGCAGCTGGACGCATACAGTCATTTACTTGTAATGATGGCTGTATGTAGAACCACTGCTCCACGGGTGAAAGAAAGTACTGGACATTTTACGTTTCAAGACTAAAAAAATGTGTAAACATCCATGTGCATGAGGCCTATAAAGATTATGTTTTTAATATCTACTTAGAGTGCAGCCTTCAAGGAAAAGTACAGCAAATGCTCTTTTTGGCTGTACTTCTCTTGTGGATCAGCTGACAGTGGGCTGAAGCCTCCTGCCGGCTGACGTCACTCAGCTGGTCCAGGCTGGGGAAAGATCCCGACTGTAAAGTCGGGATCCACCTCAGAGTCTGGAGCGGCACCTGGCTCAGCCTCTCCTCCTCCTCCACAACCCAGCGCTTCAGTAAATGTGGGGGAGGGGAGAGCAGACAGCAGTGACTGACAGTCAGCACTCTCTGCTCAGAGTGGCTGTGAGAACTCATCTATAGGCAAGTATAACTGGGGAGAAAAAAAAATACATACTTCTCTTTTGAATATTGTTTAGGCACCAGCAAAAACTCATATTACCAATAAATCATCTATAGCAGAGGCAAATCTTGGCTCAGCTGTAGTCTTCTGATTTACATCATCTTTACAGTACACCCTGAAGCAGTACAGTGAACTCAGCCCACATGGTTGTCCACCCACTCACAATAGAAGGTAGCTCAACACAGTGAACAAACTAATAATTCTAGAGAAATCTCTTCATATCAATTCCTGTTAACATTAAAAATATTGATTCTGTAAATACTTGCTTAGAGAATGATGTTCAGAAATTATAGTACAATCAATAATACAGCAACCAGAGTTATTCATAGAATCAGTATAATATTACTATTACTACTACTAGTAGTAGTATTTATAGAACTATAAATGACATATAAATTTTAAAATGATTTAAATTAAAGATTTAGAGTATTTATAATAAACGTTATTATACAATAATTAATTTATAGATGTACCCCTTAAAATCACATCATCATCAGGCATGTATGGCAGAACTGCACTCCTTGTTCTTACATACCGTTGTTTCTGCTGCATGGGTTGTTGTCTCATAGCCATATATTGCATGTCCTCTTGTAATCGATTAAGAGGGGAATCTGGCTTGACACGGATCCCGTAATAATGGTATTTGGAGTTACCCCTTTGATTAAAAAAAAAAAAAAAAAAGCATTCAGGGCAGATTAAAATGACTTTACAGGTAATGTATGCATAATTCAACATACAAAGCTCTTTCCACAATTCCAAAAATTGTTAGCTTTGGTATAAATACATAAAGAAGCTCAAAGCATGACATAAACCCAAAGATAATGTATTCTGCATAATTCTAATTACACAGAGCGTGCTTAGGAACAATTCTTACAAACTACGAATAAGTAATAGTAATAAGACTGTTCTGAAACAAGCAAGTCAGTTTCAGTAGCCTTAATCGGGGACAGCACAAATTGTAAAAAACGTATATCTTATTTGAAAGGAAGCATGGATCACTGATTAGATGTTATAAAGGCTTGGAACAGTAATAAAAAAAAACTTGTCATTTGCCTTTCATTTAAAATACTGTACATAAAAGTATGTATTCTTAACTCAAAAAAGTAAATTCTATTGCTCCCAGCCTCCTCCAAATTCCAAATTTTTTTGCTGCTGTGATCTGACTTCCTGTTAGAGGTTGGCTACGTTCATTCTTCATGGTCCTACTGTAAGTAAAAGTGTAGCCACCCACTCTCTCACTCACAAGATGTGCTTTAGACTTTGGGATGTATAGTGTGCGTAGAACAGTGCACATGACTGCAAATAACATGCACTATTAATTTCAAACAAACAGAAGTGAAGTGGAAAAGAAGAGGCTTGGGAGCTGATGGAGGATGTTGCAAGGAGGCAGAAAACAAAGGTAAGAAATCAATTCATAAAAAAATCAAGTACAGAGTCATTAGGTAGTGGATCTGTATGGATAATTTTTGAAAAATAAGGATATGGTTTAGTGTTAATTTAAAGTGGTTATAAAGGTTTTTTTCTTAAAATAACAAGCATGTCATACTGATACTTAATGAAATTGCACAGACTGGCCCTGAACCTCCTCTTCTGAGGTCCCCTGCCGGTTCTCTCAGATCTTCCTCTTTTGTGTCGGCCACCATAGAATGTAGCTTGGAAGTGCTCACTTCCAAGCTGTGCGGTTTGCGTTCATAGGCTCAACCCTGCTTTTTGCTCACAGGATTTGATTGACAGCAGCAGGAGCTAATGGCTCCTGCCTCCCTGCCTTTTGAATGCACAGAGAGAGGAGGGAGCCGCTACAGACTGGCAACGTGCTGTATCAAGTGAGGACTGGATTGAGAGAGGACTTAATATTTATGGGTGGAGAGGGAGCAATACTGCTACTGGGACATTTTGTACTATGTGCAGGGCTTTAGAACCACTTTAAGTTGAAAAAAAGACCATTAAGTTAAGCAAAAGAAAAGCAACTGAATTCCCAGAATCCTGAACACACATATAAGCCAGATAGTAGAAAAAAAAAAAGCACCATAAAAAAGGTTTGATCCCTCTCATGTAACAATTTTACAATGTTTTTTTCTACTAGCTGTTGATATTCCTTGCATTAAGAAACACATTCAGACCTTTTTTTAAACACATAAAACCAGTTCCCATAGAAGACTTTTCCACATTTTCACAGCTCTGATAGTAAAGAACGTTAGCTATGTTTTGAGGTTTCCTTTCTTGCACACCAAATGCACAAAGTGCCTTTGTAGCTTTTTAGGGGTTGTTGAACTTTCTGTTTGGGTCATTTGTATATTTATAAAGGCAATGAATCCTATCCGTCCCAATTGCTTCTTCTCTAGAGTAACTAAATTCAGATAATCTTTCTCATGAAATAAAGTAGATCTGTTTTAAACCATTAGTCTTTCGATGTTATTTATAACTTTATGAGTAGTTTAGAAATGGTTTATTTTCTAATTATTAGTTGTTCAGATAATACAGTGGAATAATTATGCGATTTCATAACTGACATGATGCAGCCACGAAACCCCTTGCTTTAAAAATGTACGACAGCCAACCAGGATTTTTTTTTTTTTTTAATTTGTTTCGATTGAAGTTGGAGGTATAACTTAATTACAGGTAGAGATGATTTAGACACTACAATCTTCCAACAGTACTCTTTCGTTCAGCTTGTCCCTTCCCTATTGCTTTTCGTTTCCTTGTCTCATAATATGCAAAATGTTTCATATCTGCATACAAAAAAATATTAACAAACTTTTAAATTAGTCTTTGCTGCTCATACATACTCTGACTACACTGCGTTTATCTCCAGATCACTAGAAAGCTCAGGAGTTTAGGTTTAATAGATTTTTTTAAAGGCCAAGTTCACTTATGGGAACATGTTACATGTTCCACCCCTTTTTAGGGTGGACCATGTAACATTCCCGCATGTGCAGCTTCCCCCCCAAATCCCCCTTTAAATTATAACAGTGGGCCACGGATCTTCTCACTGTACCAGTTCTCAAAGTTTGAAAAGAAAGCAGCTGTGTGGGCTCCGCCCACATGGCCGCATGATTCATTCACAGAGTTCTGTGAGTGAATAAACTACAAGTATTAACAGCCTTTGTGGCTGACAGCTTGTAGTTCTCCATGAACTACCGGGGCGCTAGTGAGCATTTTAGGTAGTTCATTGAGTCTTTCTATCATTGAGCAACTGCCCATACAAGGTACAAACAGACAATTACATTGACAGTCTGCAGGAGCCCTGTATTGCACCAGCAATCTGCTAATCGCACGTGCAATGCTTTATGAGCTCCTCAAACAACCTGCAAAACAAGGTAAATTTTTTTCTTTTATTAGAAAGATGAACTTATCCTTTAAGCTTCATATAAATACTGTTCTGAAGTAGTTCTGTAAAAAGCATGAAAGAGTTGTGGGATGCTGGGGACAATGAGCAGATATCAATTCACAACAAGGTTGCATTACCTGTTCATTTTTAAAACAACATGTTGGTATGCTGTATATTTCTCTTGGCAACCTCCACATGTGGTAGTTGAAACAGTACCATATTCTAATATTTTGCAGCAAAGACGACAAATGAATGACATTGTGTTCTATTCCAGTTCATCTCTAGAAGCCAATTTATTTAAAAATGAAAAATAATGCTTTTAACTTGAGTTTTTATATTTATAGGAAATAATACCCTTATTAGGGCATTAAAGCCACTGACAAATGTTGAATGCAGTCCCTGTAGTGAAATTCATTAGGGCAAAGTGCAACTGTACCATCCAGAATGAAAATGGAACGTAAGGTTTACAAGCCACTAATGTTCAAGAGGTGACTTGGACTACAACGTTTTAGAATGTTTGAGATAGGGGTTCTCTTTTATGGAGAAAAAGTAGAAATGCTGCTGTTTTATTTTTCATCGTTACCTTACTTACTTTTTCTACTGTTTATGGTAAAGAATACAATCCTATTGTACCCATTAATAAAAGTAAACAACCCTGTCTTTAAAGAAAAAACTTTGGTAATAGGTTGTCAGTTGGTTCCTCAAAGAGCACCCCTTCTTGGCAGTATTTATTTCTCTGTCTCTTCCAAGTTTGTAAAGCAAACAAGAAACCCATTTGGCTTGTCATATTTGAACTGATAACATTGTTTCCACGGTTACAACCAGACTGTTGACATTTATAATTGCATAGCTAAGATTTTTATTCATGTGATATCTTAGATCCAAAGCCAAATTCAGTATGGAGGTTTTACTAGCAGACAGCTAAAGGAAAGTGTCTTGATGCATTTAAAAAATGCAGAAAATTTAGACTGTATTAAACTGTTAATGTTTCAATCTACTTATATCAACTCATTATACTACATGCATTTTCAAGTGTTACGCCATAATAAGACACATCCTAGTCCTCTGAGGGATGGACAAAAAAATGAGGATGGGGGTTGTGGTTGTTACCAAGGAAGGCACAAAAAACTTTATCAGATGTTCTAATCCTTCCCCATTCTGGCAGCAAGTGAAGGGAACTCTCCCCAATATGGGCACACATGGCTATAATAAAACCTATAAATATAATAATAAGCCTATAATAAAAAATACATTTTCTCATGTGGCACAAACTTTGGTTGGTATCTAGTTCTACACATGACTATAATACCTGATAGAAACTAACCCTTCCCTGTTCTATCCAAAACGTAATACTTTTTTTGATTGGAGTTGAGATTCTACTATATGCATGCTAGGCAATGTGTAAATATAAAACATAAGGATATTCATTACTTCTCATCTAAGCAATCAATCTATTCATTCTGACAATGTGTTCACCCTTTGTACCATCAGAAGAATGGCTCCATCTCTGCTGCCTCACACAGAGTCCACATTTACGCTCTAGATCAAGATGCTGGACCAAAAACAACAGTCATGTAAATCCTGGTATTGCATAGATCAGCATTATTATTATACAGGATTTATATAGAACCAACAGTTTGCGCCACGCTTTACAAAATGAAGGTAGGCATTACAGTTACAATACAATTTGGTACAAGAGGAAATAGAGGTCCCTGCTCGTTAGAGCTTACAATACATACATATATATATACACACACACACACACACACACACACATATATATATATATATATATATATACACACACACAGGGGCGGACTGACAACTCATGGGGCCCCCGGGCAATACGGGATCATGGGGCCCGTGTCCTTGCCCAAACTCAAAAAAAGCCTATGAAAAAGGTACCAGAGGAATCTCATGGGGCCCCCTACTGACCCCGGGCCCTCGGGCAGTGCCCGAGTTTCCAAATGGTCAGTCCGCCCCTGTATATATATATATATATATATATATATATATATATATATATATATATATACACACACACACACACACACACACACACACACACACACACACACACACAGTTTTTTCTATGAGACTTGTAACCACCAACAGGTTTATCTCCAGCTGGGAAATCCCTCTATGTCATTTGTATACATGGCAATACAATTAGCAAATGTCAATGCACATATTTTATTTATTTTTATCTATTACAGGTACTGAGATAGCGCCATCAATTTATGCAGCGTTTTAAACATATATGTTATACATTCACAGCAGTCCCTATCCTCAAGGGGTGTACAATCTAAGGTCCCTAACTCACATCCATACATACACATACTAGGGCCAATTTAGACAGGAGTTCATTAACCAACCAGCATGTCTTTGGAGTGTGGGAGGAAACCAGAGTACCCGGAGGAAAGCCACGCAGGCACAGGGAGAACATGCAAACTCCAGGCAGGTAGTGCCTGGTAGTTGAGATTCAAACAAGCAACACTAATGCTGCTATATACCTACATCTGTTCTGAGAGAGACAATACTTCTAGCACAGTAAATGTAAAGCTGAACTTCAACCAAAACATATTCTCTTTATTCACTTTCAGTTAGAGAGGGGAAGGCTTAGAGATGTTGTCCAGTTTCTATTACTTCTTCTGTCCCTGTTTTACAAAGTAATACATGGCTAAGCATTGAAACAAAATTGTAATCCTTAACATAAGTGGCCTTTGTAGTAAAGAAAGAAAGGCAATCTGTGGAAGGTTCTAGCATCCCAATAGAGCTCCTAATCAATAATGTAGAAAATTCTCACAGTGCCCACGTTCCCTGCTGTCTGTGCCCTGGATTTTGAATATTTGAGCTAAAATGAAAAGACAGAAGATGGCTTCTCTAATGATTGGGAGCAATTTTGTGTATGAAGAATCCTCTGCAGTACGTGCGCATGTGCCCAAAAGGCAGAGCCAGAAGCTGCAATGTCACTGTGCATGCACACATACTGCTGAGGATTCTGGGTTTTGTAGTCTTTTACTGCCACATTCATGCTGAATGTTGTGTTTATAACCACGGAGGTGAGGAAAGACACCATCCTGTGAGCCACTAAGCCAGGTGAAGTTTGTATCAAACAAGTACTGTCTGACTTATTTTTTGAGCGTCACATGCACTCTGGTAAGCCTCAGAGTGATTTTGGTGGAGCAAACGTGGTGTTTTTTCAGATCCAATTATCACAGAAGGAGCTGGCAATTTTGAGGTTTGTTGCTGCACGTCACATGCGTTTTGGTTCACATATAAACATTTTCTTGCCAAGTCGAGCACTAAATGTATATGTTCTTTTGAATAATTATTTTTCACTGTTGAGCTTATATTGTAAGCGCTGCACTTATTTACAATGTTGTTAGTTTATTGTATGGTGCATCTTATACTGTGTTCTGGCTGCTATATTAGAATTATTTCCTTTAGCACAACATTTTTCTGTATTTTCAGGTGTAGTAATAGCAACCCACCAGATCTCACCAAAAGTCATCGTAGTACAAAATTAATTCTCATATCCAGGGTTTCTTTCTCAGAGAATAAGTGCAGGAACTCCCCCTTCTGAATCACTTCTTGGCTCCACAACCACCCATCTTTGAGCACAGTCCCTTGGTTTGACTCTGTACCCACCTCCCAGTACAGATCCTTATAGAGAATACAGAGTCAATTATCATTTTGTGGTGCTAAGTAATTTGTAAGGAAGGTGTTAATGATAACAAGGAAAGCAGTAACATAGATCCCCTGCAGCTAGCAACAATAGATCTCTTCCAGCAACAACAGATTCCAGCAACAATGGACCCTGGCAGCAAAACACCACCCCAGCAACAGCAACAATAGACCCCCAGAAGCAACAACAGATCTTCCAGCATCAATAGACTCTCCAGCAGCCAACACTGCATAGAACACTCCCTCAACAGTAGATCCCCATCCAACAACAATAGGTCCCCCAGCAGCAACAACAGACCTCCCCAACAACAGACCACCATGCAAAAATAGATCCCCTCTAGTAACAATAGATCCCCCAGCATCAATAGACCTAGCAGCACACCCCAGAACCCCTTGTCATTACATACATTCAGTGCTGGAGTTGCTGAAACTGCGTTCCCCTGCATTCCCGCTGAAAAAAGCCCTGCTTATATCTATGGGAACTCTTTATTGGATGAGGCCATAATTTACAAAATGGTGTGTGCATCAATGTTTTACAGAACTGAAGTCCTTTAAGGATGCTTTATGCTTGAAACCCAGAATTACCTGCTATTTCCAACTTATATTTGATGGTGCTTCATCAAACAATTGCTAAAAACGTTTTGCGGCATTATTTGGATCCCACATAGCACTCTCCGTGAAAAGGAAAAAAAAATCTGTATATACTAACCTAGTACCCAGTCTTCTCGTTCGGAGTCCCATGAATATGGAGCGGATAAGTTTTCCAAAGGAGGCAGCATTGACTGGGTCTAGTTTGTGCTCCTGACAGTGTCTAAGGTAATGATTGTAGAGAGTACTTCTGGGCAGGCTCACTCCCTCAGCAGTTTCATAGTTGTCCAGCAGCCACTGGAGCTAGAAGAAACAAACATACTCCAGGTTAACAACTCATGGAAAATAGAAAAAAATAATTAGATGTTTACGGAGGACAGCTCAGAACATGCCATTGTAATGAAAATGGAATCTTGGTCCCTTTCCATCTAGTAAGCTTCAGTATGGGTGAACACATTCTAAATGAGTGGCTACTTAAAAATACAAAGTAACAGAGGATTAATTAATGTACTAAAATGGCTAATAAAACATTTAATCTTTTATTGCTATTATAGAAGTCCAGGTTTTGAATTAAAAGAATATTGGGAAGTACAACTGCTTTCATTTAAAACAGCTGGAGATCAGCCATTTAAATCTTTGCTCCAGTTACCAGAAAGTGCTTCCAATTTCTTCTATCCTCTAGTGGCCATTAGTTTTATAATTATGTCCATTAGAGGAATGGTTTATATGCACATAGAGTATGGATGGGAATTTTGTAAGATTTTCTAGTTTTCTTTGTATTTGTAGAAATAAAAAGGAACACTAGGTTTGAAAATGTGAATTAAATGACAATGTTAAATGGGGGAATGAAACACTGTACAGTATTATAGAGGGAGGTACAGAAATAACAGAGTGAACAGTGAATAAGAGTGAACAGTTACAATTCAGTAGGACCTTTAAAATGGACCTGGTATCAGCTATACTGTAGGTTTTTAATTTAATGCATGCATGATAAAAGTGTAACATTTTCAGGTATGTATTACCTCACAGAAATTATAGTACTTCACCCTGACAATGCTCTCATTTCTTTCTCTTGTCAGAAGTCCAGAACCATCTTTGTTCAGGCATTATCCAGGGTCAGCTTCTATTTCCTGAACTGAGATGCTGGCTCAGAGATGACACCATCAAGGTTACCCTGGTGCCTGTGCAATTATTGTTTGCAAAGGTCTGACACAAACCAGCCCCTGCTGCAGACTCTCACCTTGTGACTTGCTACAAGGTTACATTGTTGCAGTCTGATCACTGGGGGTGAGATGGGGAAAAGGCTTCATCCGGCCTGCAACAGACTGATAGCATTATACTAAGTTCACTTGTAAAGTTGCAGAAAGATCCATTTTAAAGATGAAATGATGGAAACTTGTGCCCATTGCTGTAGGCAGTCCTAGTAGATTTTAAAGTAGAAAGCAACCCAAAGCTATTAGGTTCACTGAAGTGAAGCTGATCATGACCTTGGCAATTCTGGAAGTATTTTTTATCAGCTCTCAGTCAAAACACAGATTGTTTGGGAATGAACAACCAACATAAATCACCCACTGTTTTTTTATTTACCAGTTATGAATGGTGAGATAATCGAAATTCTATCAATTGAAACTAAAACAATATCCATTGTCAACCTTGTTCTTTTATTTTTTTCTGCTTCCACCACAAAGAATGCTGGACAGTAGAAATATCAACCAAATTTGAGTACTGTTCAGATCCATAAAATTGTAAATTTAATCAAAAGTTGAAGGAAAATGTCCACAAAATTGCCAAATGTACGTCCAGCATAGGTGTGGTTTACGGATTTGAGTGGCAAGCATAGCTAAAGCAGTTGATGATGGGAGTAGATAAACTGAAGTACAAAACTGAAGTGAGAGCACCATAAGTACATTTAAGTTCACAGATCAGTGCTTACAAATTTAATAGGTAATTTTTCCACTCACTGAACCATTGGAGAGATAATTGATTTAACCTTTCTTACATGCTAATACATACTGCAATGCATAGCGCAATATATTTAACAGTATAATTGATCAGTCTGCTAATGTACAGCTATCGTTTCAAATTACTAATTTATTTATTACTTTGACCATTTATGCTTCAATATTCTGAATGCAAATTATAACCTATATACAGTCATGGCCAAAAATATTGGCACCCATGCATTTCTATCAGATAATGCACCACTTCACCCAGAAAATTGTTGCAATTACAAATGTCTTCTTTTGTTTGTATTGGTATGACACAAAAAAGTGGAGAAAGAAAAAGCCAAATCTGACACATTCCACGCAAAACTCCAAAATTGGGCTGGACAAAATTATTGACATTCTCAATTTAATATTTGGTAGCACACTCCTTGAAAAAAATAACTGAAATCAATCGCTTCCTGTAACCATCAATGAGTTTCTTACACCTCTCTAATAGAATTTTGGACCATTATTTTGCCAACTGCAGGGGTACCAATATTTTTGGCCATGACTATGTGTAGATGTGTGTACATACATATACAGATAGAAACACAACACATACTATATAGAAAGTATTCATCATACTTTCCCTGTACGTAATTGAAATTATAGTATACACTTTAGTAAAAACTTTGTAAGTAAACAGCTCTTATCCTGTTAGAAGTATATTGTAGAAAATAACAAATGTTTGCAATGGATTTGCAATGGATTTGAACTTCACGCCTACATGTGGTATAAAGAACTTGTAGTAAAGTAAGAAGATAGTTTTCTTAAGTTTAAGAATTTAGATTGATCTAGCTAAAGTAGTCTGTATTTACACTGACCCAATGTTCTAAATAGAGTGAGAATCATGAGAGGCTGTGGGTGGATGATAGCTAGTGATAAAAGAGAATAAACAGTCACATATTCCATTTTCACAGATTGGAGAAGATATATATGGAATTTAAAGCAAATAAGAACAAAATGAAAAAATGAAGATTTAATATCAGTTTCAGATAAAGATAGCAAGATTCATTAATATAGACATTCAGATTATTAGGGCAAACAGCTGTGTTTAGGCATGAGTGTAGTAGGTGTATCATATGCCATAAATAGTGTGTAGGTGTAGAAGACAAATTTAAGATGATATTGCATCAGGGAAAGATAAATACTTTCTGCCTTAAAGAAAACGGTCTTGCACTACCCCATTCACACTAACAAGATCAGACATCGCAGTCTCAAAGTGCATGCCAAAGTACACTATTCCATTGATTAAATTGCACAGGCTGTCTATAATGCTATAGCAGGCAGGGTGCCACAGCCTATGTGGCAAAGCATACATTTGGATAAGATTTTGATGATACAATCAAAACGCACGTCTCTTCAGTGCTTATATTACTTGACCACCAAAAGCCTGACCATTCCTTTACAATGGTGTACACAGAACACCTTTTTTTCAGAATAGCTGCATATGGAACAAGATATTGCCAGAAGGCAGGTAAGATCTAATACTATGTGTGAGGAATAAGCCTTTGGTCTAGAAAGCCCTTGATGCAAAAATGTATATTTTACATTTAGATATTTATGGAGTCTGGCTTCACACCTATGCGCTACAGATCATACCTGAGTTGCATAATTTAGCACATAACCACAACTCATAGTAAGTCATTGCATTTTGTGAGGTGTGTTGCAGTACCACTCATTCAGAATGCCACGAGAATGCTCAACTACGTAAGTGGCAATGCGTGTTCACTGCATTGCATCATATTGCACATGCCATGCATGTTAAAAAACATAGCTTAGACATTTGTCTGTTGCAGTATGTTGGCAGCCCATTCTAAATGACTGGGGTTCCTGAACATAGCACACATTAACCAATGTGTGAAGAGACACAAAGTAATGCTTCAGATAAGGTTGTGATCCTTTCCTATAGCCAGCAAACATTAGGCTGCTAGCTCATCTGAATGACACAGTATTCAGACTATTTTTCCCTAGCTTCTTCCTGGTCTGAGGTGTTGACAAATTTAGATGAAAAGTGGAGACCCGCTGGCCGCTGCAATCCCCTTTGTGTGGTTACAACGGGTCCTTCTCTCACTGTTCCCTTGTAAACAGCAAGACCCATATTCTATATTTGGCCCATTATAATAGTATTCAGATATTCAGCTCCATTCTTATCAAGAAGCAGGGTGGAAGTTTTTTTTAGTCAAAATATGTGTAGCCCATAGGGCAATTGCTGATGGATCAAAGAAATTAACACAAGACTGCTTTCACTCTTGGGATCTGTTTACAGGAAACAAACCTTGTCAAGAGAACAGGAGTAGGATTAAAACATAATGGCTTCTCTCCTCAATGTCATTCAGTGTATGCCTCTTATTCAAGGGGAACAAGCATTTTAATACATAGATCAGTGCTTGTAAACAGATAAAGATCGATAATGGTGGACAGTATGTATTTATGTATTGCGTACTAGCAGGTACATTATTTATATTGATGAATGTGTATGTCCCCCCTCCATTTAAAATGAACTTATTTAAAAATATATTAGAATTTCTAGTAGTTAAGCCAAATATACCAATCCTAGTGGTAGGGGATTTTTAATATGGTAATGGATGCACAGATGGATAAATTCACCCCGGGAAGGAGAACAGGACATAGTACTTACACTCTACTATATAGGGTGATTATGGAGTCAGGGTTGAGAGATATTTGGATCAAACATTTTCATGCTGTTCAGGCACCTGTCACTCTGTAGGATAGACCTGGCACGGGGGAGTGACAGTATGATGCCCTTAATAACTGATATAAGGTAGGAGGCTAGAGGTCTGTCAGACCATTCTCCGTTTATTTTTGACAATAGGGTCGAATTATTATCAACAAAGGGAACTGAAGGTAAACCCCTATTGGTTACAATTAATTACAGCCAAGAAGCATATGAATACAGCCCTGGGTGATTTCATAAAAGATAATAGGGCTTCAGCACCCCAAAATGTGATGTGGGACACACCTAATGCGTATTGTAGGGGGCTTATAATTCAGCAGATCTCTAAAATAAAAAAAAATAAAAAAAAAACTACTAGGGATTGGGAATTGTCAATTATGAAAGGGCTGGTAGAACTGAGAGAATTTAAATAGAAGAATCAACTAATGATAATTCAGATAGATGGAATGAAATGCAACAGTGTATACAAAATTTCCTTGACAAGGGCTGAAAATAAAAGGTTTTTCATGAAACGACGATGATATGAGGAAGGAGAGAATACAGAACGCATGTTGGCCCTCCTAGCTAGG